TAATTAAATCATGGCTGACAAGTCATGAGCTGGAGGATGAGCGAGGTCATCTCCAACAAGACCGTACATGGGTACGAGCGCATGAGAGCCGCCCTGAAGGCAGCCTTCAATTGCTGCAACTGTGCCTCGTCAAGGCGATTGGTAATAATATCACTTTCCCCGGAAGCCGAGATGTCGGGGAACTAACATGGTGTCCGCAGGGTTTGAGCTGGAACCAGGTCGCACCAATGGCGAAATTCTTCATCATCCCGTGCGGGGAAAGCAGTGTCCGACTTGTAGTCGACTTCCTCCAACTCGAGGAAATCCGTTGCCCGGGGTGGGCGCGGTGTGTGGTGCTCAGTTGCCGGGGGTTTGGGATGTGCTTCCCGTGAAGCGTCCGGAGATGGACCATGTGCAGACAAGAAGAAGGGCTTTGACCGCGGGCGCCCTCGGAACCAGCTAGGCTGGGTGTTTTGCGTGTCGTAGACACAGGGCTCATAGAGCGGGTGTCTCAGACACGCGTGCCTCGCATGAGGCGACCGTTAAATGTGAATTGAATATATTCACAATTTTAATCGGGAAGATTGTAACGGGGCTACACGAACCCTTGTATGAAAGGGCGGGTCACACAAGATGGTGTGACCGAACATAGGTGTGTATTACACAATTAGTGTAGTCACACAGTGGTGTGGCTACACCGTAACAAGAAGCCACCACGTGGCAGGATTGCCAGTAGTAATACATATTACTATATCAATTAGGTTTTGCTATTTTAATTAGGTATTACTATATTAATTAGAAAAACCTAGGGTTTAAGATTTGGCGGCTATGCCGCAACGAAAACAGTTTAAAACAGTTTCGTTTTTGAGCAAAAGTATTCGTTTGTCTTGGTAAGGCTTTGATACTTAGAAGTATCGGATTGTGACCCGCTACACTTGTACTGGTTCTTTGAACGGATGTAATGTCGGTGACCTTTACTTAGCTTCCTCTGAGCAAAGAGCTTCGCACCCCCGCTACCCCCGCTGCAATGACCGTCTCTGAGAAAGGAGCTGCCGCCATGACAGCAACAGAATTCTCTTTACTTGGGCACAGTCAGCAAATTCTTGCGACTCTTGAAATGTAAACAAGAACTCTGGCCGCGCATTTGTCGCCTAAACACGACCAGTACCGGCGATGCCTGTTCCAAATATGTGACATACGTAACTACACGTTAACTGCCTATTCTCGCCCACAGCCTTGAATATGGAGACCACTGCCACGACGCGCTGTTGCCCCTTAGCGAGCATGACCAAAACTAGGTTCACGTCAACCTCGTTTACCCACAAAGATATTTATCTCAGACTTTGAATTCTGTGCTCTTGCAGACGCCAGTCAAGGTTGTATATTACATAGCCGGTGGCGATTGCCGACTTTGTTCTTGAGCCACCAATTATGTATTTCTTTCAAAAAAAAACAGAGATAGCAGCCTATTAAATGTGTCTTGTTGTCCCAAGAGCACATAGTGCAGCGGGGCTGCCGTAGCTTAGCGCTTGAGGAAGCGTAATTTAGGTCACCGG